GGAATACAGAAATGTTATCCATTTATACTCCAATTTTTATGAAGTACTAAGTTTTTTGGAAGGATTTAATTTAACTAGTATTTTTTTGTTAAGTAAAGAATCCTGATCCACTCCTCACCAGCTGCTGGCAGTAATACACCATTAAGTTGTTTGTCAATCACCAATAAACACCACAAGAGGAAGAAGTATGAGCAACAGGTGCTGCCACAAGCCCCGCCCCCACCCACATCACTGACAGGGGTCTTGTGTCAGACCCTCCCAGCAGCAGGAGGACCTGAGGGACACAGCTCCTCATCCTAAATGATTCTGAGCTGAAGCCCTCGTGTCTCAGCGGTTAGCTCTTACTGTTTGCTGCAGGTCTGGGATGAGGATCCGGACCACCAGAGAGTTGACATGAATGTCGTCCATGTGGTTGTGGGAGGGCGGGGCCGTGGCCCTTATGGTCTCGTAGATGGTTTCTTCTCGGGAGCTGTCGGAGGCACAGTCATCAGAGTAGTCAGAGAAACTCTGGGCCATCTCGTCCTCACTGGATGTGGGGCTCCGGGGCATGCTCAGCAGGACGGGCGGGGTGAGCTGGACCCAACAAGACAGGAGGAAAACACAAAAACATACAGTTCAGTAGAAATGTCTGAACTCCTGCAGCTCCTGTTAGGTTAGAGGTGTTCCTGTGTTCATGTGGGAGGAGCTAATCTGACTGACGTCACCCAAATCATTTCCTTTAACCTTCACTCAGAGTGAAACAGTGCAGCTGATGAACCACGTCAGACACACAGTCTGCAGCAGCTGAGCTAAATGAGACATCAAACTGATTTATGAGTGACAAGCTGAGTCACCTGAGCAGAACAGAGACAACTTTATCAACTTTATGAGATTTCATCTGACAAAGACAGGAGAATGAGATCACTTCATGTTTGCCTTTTTCTGTTTAAAGGAGCTGTGTTATGAAAAAGACATTTTTGAGTTTTATATCATGTTTTAAAGTCAATCCCTGATCAGAAACACTCAGAGCTGCTGTGACTCACTCCTGCATGTTGGAGGAATCCTCAACTGTTCTATAGAGCTGCCTAAACACTTCCTGCTGCAAAGCTCCGCCTATTTGTACAAAGCTCCTCCCTGGAGCTCAGTCTGCAGCCGAGCTTCCAGAGCAGTGTTTAAAGATGTGCTGAAGTGGGAGTGTCAGAAATGGCAGGAGTCAGTTTCTATGTGATTAGACTCTGATGAAAAATGACATTTATTTATGATTTAGCAGCTTTTTCTAACGACTGAAGAGAGCAGAGTTACTGGATGTTTGACAGGCAGCACCATGGCTCAGTGGTTAGCACCAACACCTCACAGCAAGAAGGTCCTGGGTTTGATTCCTGGTTTGGACCTGTGGTATTTCTGTGTGGAGTTTACCTGTTCTTCTCATGCTTGTGTGGGTTTTCTCCACCACTAAAAACATGYACAGTAGGCTGCCTTCAGGCCCAGGCCGCCCTTAAAAAAGAGATCTGAGATCTCAGTGGGATTTTCCTGGTTAAACAACAGTTAAACAGTAAAAGTGTGTGTGAAGAAATGAACTCAGTAAATTACACAGTTCAGTTGGAGGTATGAACTTGTGTATTTATGATGTAATATTAGTGCCACTTAGCAAAATATATTCTTTATGTATATTTCTTTATGCATTGCCAATGCAATGCACACTATTGTGATCCGTTTCCCATCCAAGTCATCTCAACTTTGTCGTGCTTCTCCTCCTGCATACTTTGTCCTAGAGCTGCAATTGTAATTTACATCTGTAAAGCTCCTGTGCCAAATGATGGCTATGCCTTTTGGTGCCTGTACAACTTATAGTTTTTGAAATATTAATGTTTAATAATTTACAATGGGAGTCAATGGAGCCTTGTAATGGTCCAATACTGCCTCCTGCTGTATCTACTCAGTACTGAACCATAGTTTAATAATATTTAATCTCAATAGTTCAGTGGTTACAATACTAATATGATTGTATTTTGATGTTTTACTATAATATTGTCCTAATATTACTCTGTTACTGTAATATATTG